GTTGTTTTTTTTTTTTTTTTTTGTTCTTGCTAAGACTGTGCCTTTAATTTTAATATCGGTTCTCCACTAAAAGACGTGGGAATAAATTTGCCTGTCAGCCTCTAGAGTTTGCTCAAGAAGAATCATCTTTGCAGGATTTTGAGCAGTGGCTGAGTCCAGCATTCCTGTAAACCTTGGGAGAGCAACCTGCCCTTCTGGGATCTTTGCTGCACCCCACTATTGTGTCTTCCAGCCCTGCTCTGGTGGGAGTAACTTGAGACTGTGTTGGCTCAGTCTCCAACTTCTAAAAAATGAACTGTTCTCCTTTTTCCACTGCTAAAGGAGCAGCATTCCAGTAGCTGTCAGCAGCTGCCTCTGCTTTCTCTTGCCAGGGTTGAGAGGTGGGTGTGGGAGGTGTAGCCCCCGAACCAGCACCAGATCCTCGCCTCCCTCTCCTTTGCATCCCTGCTGTAAACTCAACACAGGGAGAGAGGCTCCAGCATCATCTGAATTACAAAATCATTCTATTGTCAAGCCTTGAAGTGTCACATTCTCTTTCAAAACCCAAGGCTGTGACATTCACTGAAGAACAGCGTCGTTTCAAAGTCAGGGAGGGCTATTCTTAGCACTTCAGTCAAAAAAGGAGGGGGAAAAAAAAAATGTCTTTGGGGGGGGGGGAAAACTACAACAATTTTACCAAAATGAACCTTGTCAGAAATGATCAATTCACCCTCCATTCAGGCTGACCTGGTCCTTGCTGCGTGCCAGAGGACAGAATTTGTTGACATGGCACAATAAATTAAGATTGCCAGATCTCCTTGTAATTAATTGTCTCGCAGCCCAGGTTTGGCAAAGAGTAATTTAAAGTGATTAAATCACTGGTAGTTTGGTTTTGGGTTCTTTTTTGTTGTTGGGTTTTTTTTTTCCTTTTTAAGGAACGTTTCTCCTCAGTTAGTTGAAGAATAGATGCTGATGAGTAACAGCCACCTCCCAGTCCTTTATTTGTGCTATTTAAATACCTCTTCCTGCTAGACCAGTGCCTCCTCAGCAGTCAAGAGACAAAGACATTATAAGAGTTATGATTCTTAAATTAAATAGAAGTTCTAAAGCAATTGTCCTAATACATACTCAACAAACTACTCTTCAATTAAACAAGAAAAAGATTTTACTGGGTTTCTAGAGTGCTAACTGAACATCTGTGGTGTTTCAGAGCTGTGTCTTCTAAATTCTGTCTATAAGGAGCTTCTGCTGGTGGATTCTTCATATTCAAGGGCTGAGAGTGCAAAGAGCTTTTTCCAACCTGCTTGAAAAAGCCATGCAAAGTTATTTATATCTTTAATTGGATGGGGCCAGGGGATGTTTCTGAGGATGGGATTCATTGGGGGATGATGCTGGAGCAAGCCTGCTGTCCAAGCAGATCCCTGACACTCCTGTGTGCATCCTGACCATCTCCAGAGGGACTGTCATTAATGTGCTTCTCCCTTTCCTTCTCTTTAGTATTCATGCAGTGATGATCATGTGAAAATTACTCACACTTCTGACTTGAGAAAACTTTCTTAGCCGAGAAATCCAACCAATATCGGAGGGAATTAGAAATTCAAATGGGGGGAAATTATACACTGTGTGTGTCAATACAGCAAACCTCATAAAGGCTGCAATCAATCACATTGGCATCAAAGGTGCTGGTACTTTTCCCTGTCACCTAGTCCAATGAATAAAGGAAAAGGTTAATCAGGAGAAGAAACCTTGGTTTGCTGCCTGGAGAGAGGCAAAAGCACAGAGCTGGAGTGAGTTCTGGAGCTTCTTTGGTTGTGATCCGTGCTCATGCACAAATCTGGGCTGCAGAGAAGGTTCTGTCTGTGTTTGTGCTGATTCAGTAGAAGAGCTTTCTCTCAATCTCCATTTCTTGCAAAGGGCTATTGCACAGTGTCCCCTCAAACCCTGCCTGGGCTTCCCAGTGCTCCCCGTGCTTTGACACCTCCCCTGTTCCTGCTGCAGGTTAAATCCCAATTCCTTCTGCCTGGGTGCAGCCTCACATTAGGGAGCTCACTCTGCAAATCAACTCATTAAATGAACATAATGATCCGTCCTGGTCTCCCACTGTCCAGCTGCTGATGGAACAGCATGTGGTGCAGAGTGGACTTTCACAGTGATATCTTGATATGTTTTTTTATCTTTATTCTGCTGTATGACTGATCCAAACAGCAGCTCTCCCTCAAGGACACCTCCCCTGTTTCACATGAGCAGTGTCAGACCTCGGGCAGGGACGTGTAAAACCCAGCAGTGACTTGCAGAGGCTGCAAGTGATTCCTGCACGGTCCTGTCTCTCTGCTCCTCTCCTTTTGTTGTTTTGACTGCCAAATTGTGTGGTTTTGTAGGTCTTGTATCTCAGCTCTCTGCTGTCAACTCCCTGAGATGCGAGAAGTAGGCACGGCCCAGATGCTCGCCTGGAGCAGAAATAGCACAGCTTTCTACTACTATTCCCCATCAGGTCCCCTGAGCCGTGGATTTCTGGCAGACAGCATTCCATGGGGAGCAAAAGAACCTCAGGCCTTTAGTTTGCAGTTGTTGTAAAAAACCCGATTCTGGTTTTGGTGTAATTTAGCAGATTGAAGGGGAGATATAATAAATCTCTGAGCGACTCAGGAAGCTTTTACTGGTTCAAAACTGTTCAGATTTTTGGAATATTCAGTAATCCCCTCACATTTCCAGGGGCTTTCGTGTCCTCTCAGTGTCACAGCTACAGCTTTGAGGGGTATGTGTGCTGATAAGTGCATGTTTGCATGTTGCTGGATGGGTGTTTTCAAAACTACAAGAAGAAGGATAAACAGCTCCTGGTGATGATTTAAGACCTTCTGTGTACATATACATATTATTTTCAGACAGGGGTGTAGGAAAGGTGAGCAATAAGAGCCCCAGTGCTTCTGATGCTGAAAATACACCAGTTCAGCGTGTGCAAAAAATGAGGTTGTGTCTGTACAGTGAAACAGGAGCCAGGCCTAAAAGAGTTAACTGAGATATCTTGACCAGTTAAGAAACCCCAATACCTGTTTTGCTAGAAAAACATTTTAGGAGCACTGGTTAATACCATGTTCTGTTCTGCTCACTGGACCAAAGGCCTTATTATAGAAAGAATAGGAGTAGCACACACACAGAGTAATAAATTAGGTAAACTAGGTGTTTGAATAAGATCTAGAAGGCCCAGAGCCAGGATTTTGCAAGCTTGAAGAATTCAGGTCACCTAATTGAAGAGGTCAAATTGAGGAAGACGTCCATGGCAACCACCAGAGGGATGAAGGCTTGAGGAGAAGACCCCCACAGTAGAAGACTGCACATGTCTGGAAAGACTCTGCCCAGAGACCAGCCTGCTTATTAATATGTATAATAAATGATGTAACCACGGATCTAAAGTGTATAAAATGGCTTAGTTTTGCACTTGCAAGTCGAGCAAGTTTGTCCAGGGCGAGCTGGCTTGCTCCCAACGTTGGATAAACAAATACCTTGCTGCTTAAAGATAAAAAACCCCATCTCTGAGCAGTCTTTTGGGCTGATTTTTCGGATCCAACAGGTGTGGGTGTAGGTGCAGGGAGTGCTCAGAACCATCCCTGGTGTCTCCCCAGCCCGTGGTGACCCCCCCAAGGAGCTGAGCTGGCCGAGGATGACTTACCTTCTGTGCCCTCCTCTTGTCGGCTCGCTGGTTCTGGTGGTAAATCCGGCTGAAGTTGGAAACGATGACTGGAACGGGCAGAGCAATGACCAGCACCCCGCTCAGGGAGCAAATGGAGCCAAAGATCTTCCCAGCGATTGTCTTGGGCACCATGTCACCATAACTAGGGGGGAAAAAAAGACAAAAAAAGGGAAGCCCCTCCTTCAGACAAAAAAAAAGCCTTCTCGGGTTTTTTTCTGAGCGCGCAGCGAACGGCGTGTCCACGTTGGACACTAAAAGCTTAGAAATCCACCATGCAAGGGATAATTTGTGGTGCTGTCACCCTGAAACAACCACACTTTGACTGGGAATGGAGCTAAACTAAAGAAAAGCACTTTTGCTGCTGGTTCAGGCAGCTGCTGAGTATTTAAATTCCTGTCCTCGCTGGTTCCGTGCCCACCTCTCCACACAGATGAGCTCTGGCAAACCTTAAACTCTGACATATATTTTCATTCCCTTGTATCCAGGTGCAAATGAAGACTGATTTACACTTCCATTTCAAAGCCCAGCAGTTGCCTGGCCATCTGCACAGTGAGAAACTTGGGGGTTGTTCAGAGTCTGTGCTCAGTGAAAGGTGAACTCTCAGGGACATGAGACCAGCTGAAAAATGTTCAGAGAAACCTCTGCACTGGGTTTGACCCAACAGTCTTCAACTGTGATTTGAGTTACAGAGTAGGGACCTGGACCTGCAGGTCCAGAGGGGGTCACAGAGATGCTCAGCCCCTCAGCTCTGGAGAAAAACCTGACAATGGAAATCTGGAGAAGCCCCTATTTGCTGTTTAGAATTTCTGTGGTCTTCCCTGAGATGTTCTAGTGTTTGATGCGGGAAATATTGAAAAGCAAAATGCTTTTTTACAGCTGAGGCTTTATTTTTACCTTTGATGTCAGCATATGACCAGCAAAGAGCTTTGATGGGGAGCAGAGTTGAGCCGAGAATAATTGACATCCAAGAGGAAAAACAAATATTTCAAAGTACCTTTTTTTATCAGCTGAACTTCCTGCCCCCATCCAAGAACTTGTTGGTCTGAGGGTCTGCATAAAAGCAGAAGTCATTACATGTTAAATACTTCAGGCTTCATTAGCTAAGGCTTATTTGTCCCAAGCACAATCCTTCTCCACCTTCACCCACGTTAAAACCCTCAGAATACCTCGAATTGATAATTGCTCTTCATGTCTATTAACTTTTTAGCTTCTGCTTTATGCAAAGATAGTTTCAAAGCTCTTTGCTAAGTGGCAAGGTCTTCTACCTCATTTAACACTGGTCTAAAAAAAAATAAAATCCTACTTTTCTCCTGCCAGCCCTTAACACAATAAGGCTGCAAATTAATCATATGCCTCAAACATGATCTCAGTGACCCAGAGCACGGAGAGAAAGCCCTTCTGTGCATTTGGAGGAAGTATAATAATAAGTGTCTGGCTCACAGTCTGTCTTGTGGAGTTTTCTTGTTCTTCCATGCAGACTGAGAGTTACCTCATTACTTGGGGCTTCAGAGGAAGTGCTTTCAAACACCATCAAAGATCAAACTCCTGGAGCAAGGGAGGGTTTTGCCTGGGAGATGGAGAACTTCACTTGCAAAACTGTTACGAGGGAGACTGGAATGAGGAACTTGGCTCTGGCTGGAGCAAACTGCACAGAAACAAGACCTAAACCTTGTCACTCTGACTCGTGGATGTACCACAGAGTCAGCCATGGGGAGGACTCTGCTGGATTCTCCCCTCAGGGCTGGAATGGCACGTCAGGCCCCTGGGATGGGTTGCAAATGCCAGACCTGATGTTTGGGAATATCACAATAAAACCCGGCTGGAGCTTGATCCAGATCTCTTTGCACTTCATGAGAGGCCTCCTTCTGACTTTGAACCTATAAAGTTGCAATTGTTCTGCTCCCCTACTGACACACACACAGCTCCTGCAATATTAATTGCTGGAGTGACTATTTCTGTCCTGATGGTACCATAAGGTACTAATGGCCCCATGGCATATTTATAACAGGTACAGTGCCAAATAAACTCAGCTATTGGATTTCAGTTAGCACTAATTAGGCATTTCAAGCCCCAAAAACTTCTTTTCCCCAGACTGGAATGAGAGGACTCAACTTTCCCATTAATTTGTTTAGTAAAAAGGCAAGTTGTCATCTAAAAAACTTCTACTGAAAAGTGCATTTTAAGTAATTCATCAATAATCTCATTAGAGAAGCAAGGAGATAGAGGAGTTGGGTAATGATTAACATTCAGGGGGTCTAACAGGATGTTTGAGCCTGCAAGAAAACAACAGGAGGCTGCAAATTCAGTAGGCTTTTAATGTGACCTCTAGTAAATCATTTCAACTTTCTGCACCTCGGTTCCCCACTTAAGAAAAAGGGCAATTAATTACTTATTCTTTGCCTGGTTGGTTAAGTAGGTGTTGGTTCTTCAGAGCAGGAGCTGCCTCATATTCTGAATATACCCAGTGGTGACTCCTTAGTGCTGCTGCATCACAAATATTAATAATGCAGAGCAGTTGTAGGGAAATCTGGGATAAACACGGCCTGCACGTGGCTCCAGGCTCATTCCCTGGGACAGGCTGAGGGTCCAGAGCATCAGCTGGAGCTGAGCATCAGCCCAGACGTGGAACATGCCTAGAGAAAAACACACTCCCTGCTTATTTTGCCAGGAATCCAGTTAGATGGCAACAGATCCAGCTGGTTTGCAGTTGCTGAATTCAATGGGAGTGGAAGGTTCCTTGCCCATGGCAGGGGGTGGAATGAGATGATCTTAAAAGTCCCTTTGAACCTGAACCATTTTAGGATTCATTGCTCTGCTCTCTGGCTGTGCCAGGTGAGATGCACCCAGACAGCTCTGGGGGGTTTTTTCTATTAAAAAAAAAATAATAAAAAATTACTTTTAGTTGTTTTTAAATTAAAAATTTAAAATTAAATTTTAAATTAAGTTAAAAATTAAATTTAATTAAAAAAATTAAATTAAATTAAATGAATCAAAAAATTGGTCACTCTTCAGACTGCAAAACACTGAATGCAGAATTTCAACAAGTTTGTTGGTTTTTTTTTTTCTTTTTAATTTGTAGTGTGACTTCTACGTTCTTTGGATATAAAAAGGGGGGTCATATGTCACTCGCCCTAATTAGCAGCTATTAGTCTTGACAACATAATGTGCTGTTGTTTGTCTCTCTGTCAGCAGAGAAGGTGTTATCAAATAGAGGTCACTGCTTCCAAGTCCTGGTTTTAGCCACAGAGGTGTCTGGACGTTGCTCAGGCCCCCAGCTGGAGACAGCAATAAATAAGGTGCTGAACAGCTCATCAAATGACTCACTCCAAAAATAGCCTCTCGCAGCATCTCTGGTGATCCTGTGTCTCTGTGCAAGGCTCACAGCCCTAGAAATAGGGAATTGCAGGAAAACAGCTGGAATACCCCGTGCTGCAGGGCCAGGGGAAGGTGGAATGGCAATGACAGCTCTGGGGGGACAGTGAGACAGCTTTACAGAGGATGCTCTTTCCCAGCAGCCTTTCAGTACCACCTCTTCTGCCTGGGGAAGGCAGAGCTGGGAAGGGGCTTCTGGGTCATAGAGGACCATTTGTCTGCTGGTGTCTCCCTGGGTTCCACTGGATGCAGAGGAGGCAACAGTGCCACTGAAAATTGCTGAGCCTGTGTAGAATTCTAGAATGGTTTGGGTTGGAAGGGACCTTAAAAATCATCTCAATCCACCCCCTGCCACAGGCAGGGACACCTTCCACTAGCCCAGGTTGCTCCAAGCTTCATCCAACTGACCCTTGGGCACTTCCAGGGATGGGGCAGCCACAGCTTCTCTGGGCAACCTGTGCCAGGGCCTCACCACCCTCACAGGGAACAATTTCTTCCCAATATCCCATCTCTCCCTGCCCTCTGGCAGTGGGAAGCCATTCCCCCTTGGCCTGTCCCTCCATCCCTTGTCCCAAGTGCCTCTCCAGCTCTCCTGGAGCCTCTTTAGGCCCTGGAAGGGGCTCTCAGGTCTCCCTGGAGCCTTCCCTTCTCCAGGTGAACATCCCCAACTCCCTCATCCTGGCTCCATGGGCTTCGTCTTTGGACTCCTTCCAACAGCTCCACATCTTTCTGGTGTTGGGGATCCCACAGAGCTGGAGGCAGCACTGCAGGTGAGGTCTCACCAGAGCAGAGCAGAGGGGACAGCACCTTCCTTCTTACCAGCAAACCTGTTTTTGGACATCATTCAACACCCGTCCCTGCTCTGCAGAGCTGCCTCGAGGGAGGGAGGGAGGGAGGTGAGGCCCCCACAGAGCTCAGCACATCCAGGTGCCCCCCAGGTGACTTGGTTTGGGTCACAGAGCCACCACAAGGACTCAGGGGACACCCAAGCTGTGCATCCACACCCCAGGATGGTGCTTTTCCTGACTGCCACGTTTAACTGCTCAAGGGCCACCAGGCCCGGTGGTGAAAAACCGTGTGGTTTTCACCCCCCCAGAGCCTCTGAAAGCTGAAATATCTGATGGAGCTGGAAACAGAAACAATGCTCCTTCCCCTGATTTAGTATTTCTGCCTCATCCTGGCATTAACAGCTCTGGGAGAGCTGCTTTATCTCCCTAACCTTTTGCCCAGCACGGTAGAGTCAAAAGAAGATTTCACTCCAGCCTGTAAGTGTCTGCTTTTAGGACAATAAGGACAGAATAATAACATTATGTACTTTACAATAGACCATGATTTTGAAAGCCTTTTGCATGAAAGGGCTGGAATAAAGCATGGAATTAGCATGTAGCTTTCCAGGTGCAAGAGATCCTTTTTTATACTGTAAGTAAATCACGAGGCAATGTTGGGATTTGCACAAAGGAGAGGGAAAAATGGCTAAAATCCATCAAGAACGTTTCACTTGCACTGGCAGACTGTGTGTGTTGTATTTGACAGCTCAGAGGAGCTCCTGTCCCTCCATTTCATAGGTGCAAGTCCAAGGTAATCTTGTTAATGCTGCTTTGAACCCCCAGTGAAATAATGATCGTGTCACTCGTAATGATCCAAAGGAAACCAACCCAAGCATTACTCATTCCTTTTGCACATGACAAATGAGCAGGGAATTAACAGCTCTGCTACGAGGGCTGGGGGTAGTTAGGTCTTTTGTTTAGGGTTTAATTTATCATTTCTCTG